TTCGACTGAATAAATCTTTCAGTCTCAATTTGCAACAAAATTTTTTTATGACTACAGCCCATGAAAATTTTGCTCAAAAGAATTTATATTGTTTCATGTATATTTTGAACACATTCTCATACTAAACTATTTCGACCTTCCTTTATCCATTCCTTTCTGCTTTTGGCTAAACTTTGAGGGCAATATTAGTGTTCCTAAAGTGTAATTATTTAATTGTACGAGTGTAGGTATGATTTCCATGTTTCTTAATTTCTTTACATCTTTAGTTTCATGCCAAAGTAGACAGAGAAAACTAAGAGCAGCACCTTCAGCGCTCGAAATATTTACATTTGAATATTTGTATATACAAAAGGGATATACAGGGTGTAGAGGGCACGAAAATGAGCAACTTTTATTAATCAGCAACTAAAACAATAATTACTTTTTAAATTGAAAAAAGATTCAGATGAAGTTTAAACAAAGGACTGCGCACAAACCTTACGTGAAATGGCTCCCGGTTAAATTGGCTAAATTTTTTATATGTTACATATCTCGGCATCCTGAACAAATGTCTTCATGGGCGCAAAGTCCGAAACTCCACGGGCTCCGAGATAAACCCACCTAACCCCTAGAAACAACCCCTATCAAACCACAAGCAGACCCTGGGAACAGCGAATTTAGTCGCTTATTTTTCTTGAACACTTCACACTTCACGTAGCGAGTCCGAAGCATTCTGGCGTGCACGGCCAATGCACAAGATGCACAGCGCTTACTTTTATGGTTAATTTTTTTAATTAATTTTCTCGAAGATAGAAGCATTTAAACCAGTTGTTTAATAAAAGTTGCTAATTTTTGTGTCCTCTATCACCTTTTTCATGGAACGCATTTATTTCAGAAACACCCTGTATATGCATGAAAAGTTTAGGTTTGAAAACTTCTTTAAGAGCATTTCGTTTGTTCTAAATTCGTAGCTGTAATCTGTTTTTTTGATAAGCTTTAAGAGCAAGGAACTACGGAATTTTTCTCTATAATGTTTTCTTGTATCGCACAAACTTCTCGTCCTCGGGGGTGTCTGATTATGAATAAAATTATACTATATTCTATAAGAATTTGGAGTACATTTACCGAAAATATTTCCTGGATTTTTCCCATCCAACAATTTCAAAACCTTTCCAAATTTCCACCCATTAGATGTTGTGTTTGTGATCTTTATCTAGATCATTTTTGAGCTGTTGCTTCTCTCCATTGTTTTTTTTATTTGTGGCTTTCGAAGTAGCTTCATCCTCTAAGCAAACGTTTATGTTCTAGGCGACGGCAAAGTCGACTACGAAGCCACGAACGAGGCGCATTGGCAGAGCCACCTGAGTCAACTCGTACCCTGTAAAAACTGCGCGAGGACCTTCAATCCCGATAGGGTCGAAGTACATGAAAGAAGTTGCAAAGGGTTCTAACTATCCGCTATTTTTCCCTCTAGAGTGTCCTTTCAGTGTTACAGTTTAATTTGTGGCTTTGACTATATAATAAATCTTCAAGAATATGACTCCTCTATTTTTTTTTAATTCCCAACACGTAAATTACCTACACCAATTCACGTCATACTTAGCTCTGAATTAGACTACAGTCACTGGTACATTATTCAAAAATGGCTCGATTTTGGTATGTAGGATTTTTAGTTCTTTGTCGATGAGAATTTATTTAGGGGCTTATAACTCAAATAAGAACGCTACAAATATTTGTGCTCTGTATTTAAGGCGATTATTGGAATCAATGGACACACTTAATTGTTCCATTCGTAACAAGCACATTTTGAGCCATCTTCCTTATGCAATCCAATACAAGAAAAAAAATGATAGGTAGATTTTGATAACATTTAAATTTTACGTAACGTTTTGTAAACTTAAAAAGAAAAAAATAATTAAATAGCAAATTGTCTTAAATTCTCTACAGTGTTCTACAAGTTCTATGACAAACTTTGAGAGATGGTAGGCTGAGTTAATTTCAAACATTTTTTCTTATATGAACATATTACAAGCATTCTAAAAAATATAATTTCATATTTCAATCAAAATAGGTAGCCTGATAAATAAAAATGGTGCCTAATATAATAGGCCAGTCATTATAGCTTTTTCTTCGGGAAAAAATACTATTAGAAGTTTCTCTGTGGAATATTGTTCAGAAACGTGTTATAAATAAAATATCAAAAAATCAACTCGAGACTAGTTGGGAAACTTTGTTAAAACAATGGTCAAAATTATGGAAAAGTGGTTTTTTGACTCGCGTAAAAAAACTGTTATTCAAAACGGATGCTCCTAGCATTGTCAACTAACAATACTATGTATTCTTGAAAAGCATAAAAACCAATGTTTAATATCAGAAATTACATACCTCGAAGACCAAAGAAATTGAGATCTTATACGATAAATTTCTGTAGACCGAATTTGCTCTAAATAACTAGGTGCTGTGTCAAAAAATATTGAAGAAATAACCATTGTTTTTATTTTACACCATCTGCATGTTTGTTATTATTAACTTTTGCAGTAAGGTTAGTCGTGTTAGATGGGCCTACTTTGACTTTGACACCAGGATCGTTCCATTTGTTACCAAACACCCCGTATATGCAAAATATGGTGAAGTCAAATAAAAATAATTAATAATTTTTTCAACTATTTAATAAAAGCGATGAGTATTCCCCATGAATAATGTGCGACTCTTAGATTTCAGTAGATAAGTTTATGGTTTATTTTTATGATGTTTTCATGTACGGCAAAATACGGCATTGTAATCGGAAATCGTTTAAGAGGGTTTTCCAAATAAACAATGATGCAAAATTCTTCTGACTAAATTTCGAAATTTTAAAATATTTATGTATAAAAAAATTTGTTTGTTAAGACTTACATGCCGCCAATGTGTCAAGATTATCAACACATGCTGCATTCTTGACATAACTTATTAAATAGCTCCAATGCTGTCTGCAATGCTATAATAATTAAATACAAAATATACAAATTATCTTTGCTTAACAATTCCTTTTATTTTTGTAATTATGGTATTTTATAATTACAGACAACAATAAAACTGCTACGTAGTATGATATTTCAATTTAATTTATTTGGCAGGTAAACAATGTTTCATTTTGTTTGTACTTTCATTCTCTTATCTCAGTCCTGCTCGAAATAGATTTTTATACGGCCTTTACGATGTAAGAAAAGATAATTAAAATATTATAATGTTAATAACACATGGAGTAAAAATATTTGTACCGTGGCAAAGTGTTTTATACATATTTATACAAGTTAAATAAAATAAGCAAATTCATGTTCTTTTAAACATATATTGTCAAAACCGGTTACAGACACCATATTTATCTTTTATAATATTTTAGCAAAATATTTAATTTAAAAATACAAAAATTTGAAGGTAAGTAAATTACAACTTTCAGAAAAAAAAATTTATTTAATCGAAAAATTGTTTTGCAGGCTTAGAAGAATCAGTGATTTAATATTTTCGTTTCACGCACTTAATACGTATTAAAATTAACGAATGCGATTAACATTTTATTAGATATACCTAGCGTACGTAAAACGAGATATAGATATTTTGTGCCTATAATATATTGTTTATGTTCTAATTTATAATATACAGGGTGTAACCAAAATATTTGGCCAAACTGTAATGACGGATTCTATATCACAATTTGCAAATAAAGTTCCTATAAATTTGAGTTAGGAAACAATTAAGAGAAGCTATCTAAATACTACTTTATTCATAAATAAGTCATTATTTAAATAAATTATTATTTTTATTTCAAAAATAATTTGTTGTTCAGGAAGAAAAGGAATTAGGAGCGAAAATAAGCGAAAAACCGTACGCGGGAAATAAAAATTAGAGCTGCATGCCAAACTTAATGACATTGTTTGACCAATTTTTTTATCACGCAAAAAAATCGATTTTAAAATAACACCCTATACACAGAAACACCTTGTACCTATATATAAACTTTTTTTTATTGATTTGTGACGCATAATCCGCCATTCAAGTTTGAATAAGTAATTTGGTTTCCTCTGTATATTTTTCGTTAAAAATATTGATTACCATTGTGTGTGTAAAATTCTTTTCTGATAAGACATGACAAACACATTGTCTTTTGTATCATACAGGTAAGTATCTTGTGTATTAATATACAGTGTGTCCATGGATTGAGTGCACGTGGGGTGTAAATGGCAAAAAAGAAAGTTATCGAGAACTAAAAGTTATGACAGATTGTCAATTTTCAATTTGATCGACCAACTTTTTTTTTACTTTCAACAAGACGCATTCAACACGAATCATTCGAGAATGGCTAAATGGTCAATTTCCTGGGCGGTGGATTGGGCGAAACGGCCCAATTTCTTCGCCTCCTAGAAGTCCTGATTTAACTCTAATGGATTTTTATTTGCTGCTATTTTAAGCAGAAAGTCTATGGGTCCCCGTTGAATAACGATTTATTTGAATTGAAACCAAGAATAAAAGATACAATTTATGCCATCCCCATTCAAGAAATCCAAAATGCTTACACGTAAAATTCAATCCGTGAACACATATTTAATACTTCTTTAGAAACGCTCTTCACTGCAGATTTTAGACACCTTATGTAACTGTTTACAATTCTTCTATAAACTTTTGAAACAGAAAGTGTACTGTTTAGTTTTTTAATTCACTAGCAACATTAATTGTTTTTTTTAACGATTTGTCTAGATATCTGCTTTTGTATATTATGTTTTGTTTTTGGGGATTTTGATTACGCAGTTACTAATTAGCAGTTATAATTTACTTTTCCTAGTTTAATTCATTTAATCCCTAAATGAACCTTTTCTCCAGAACAAAACCCCAATTTACTAAATAAACAGTACTTTATTACGCCAGGCAAAAGCAGTAGGTATTAAATCTAACTTAGATAAATGTGCAAACAATGTCATTTAGAATATAATTAAATATCAACACAGATAAAATCATTCCAATATTTTTAATTGTTAATAGTTTACTCCAGTTTCAGACAAGGTTTCGGAGGTGCAAGGAGAAACTTGAAAAGGGGAGAGTTTTATAAATTACATCAGGTTCAATAATGTAATTTTTTCGCGCCTTATATGTTTATAGTTGATGTATATTTATTTGTACGTACCATATCGGTAAGTGAACCGCAAAGTGATTGATTTAGAGACGAGTTGATTGGGAGAAGAGTTTTCAGTACGGTAAGTATTTTGTCAACGTGTACTAAGATATGTTTTTACAGGGAACTGAGTCACTACATTAAAATGATTCAGAAATAAAAATCCGATAATTTATGATGAATCTATTTTCAACACTAAATTCGAAATTAGCGAAAAAATGTTTTTGATTAATTTCTCTACATGCTAAAAGTAAAATATGTAATGTAGTTTTGAGTTATTATAAAAACAAGTTATTCCTGATAAAAAGTCATCTCTGTAAATGTATAACGTATATCGTAAGTAGATATAAAATTGACAAGCATCATCGTTATACAAAAAGGACATGTGTTCCACAAGACACTAAACAATTCACTGCAATCAAGATGAATCCCGCATCCTTATTTAAAATGTTCTAAATAACATTTTAGATGCCTTTGTGATTTTATTTTTCCAGTTTCTTAAAGTTTTCTTATAATTACACATTTTATACTATGTAACATTTTTAGAACACTGTACATTATAAAAACAATACTATTCTGTTTATTTTAATCGCATAATACTCCAGTATAATATTCGTTGTTAAAACATCTGTTTATTTGAAGTAAATATAAATATTTAATCTTTTAACTTTTAACTTATATAAGGTCAGTAAAACACTTACGTCCTGATTATAAAATTATCAAAAAAAGTCTCGTGCAAATGACCAGAATACATTACTCCGATGTATTTTGAGCCGCTGAATCCAAACCTGATGTCAGAATTGCCCCAGCAAGCTACCAGAACTAACTTGAAAAAATAGCTTAAAATCGCTAATATTCTCGAATTCGGTTTCAGCGGGTCAAAATACCCGATACCTACATAGGTCAGATTACGATTTTCAGTCGCTTAATTCAAATCATACCTGGATCATAGAAGCTAATTTATTAATTTTTTGAATTTTTAGGCTTTTTTAAGGTTAAGAAGAATTTGTGATCTTATGGGCCAAATCTTACATGGGAATATAAATATTTGTCCACTAGTTTCTGCCACTAATAAATTATACTTGGATTTTAAATGCTAATTCGTCGATTTTGTGGATTTTTAAAGCATTTTTGATGTTAGAAAGTTCTGATGATTTGCCGGGGTAATTCTAACATCGGCTTCAAATTCACTAGCTCAAAATACATGGAATAATATGTTCTGGGCATTTGTATAAGATTTTTTTTTTTAGTGGAACTTTGTAACTAATTATTCGGGGAACTAAAGATCGTACAGAAAATCTAAATACGGTTTTGAAAACTTCAAAATATCCTCTTCCGTAGAAGATAACGTAGAGTCTACGTTATAAAACGTTCTTATCATTTTTTGATAAAAAAATTTTTTTCGATGCAAGATACTTCATTCAAAAAAGGATAAAAATTGCTTATTTAAGGATTTTCGTTAAACTTGAAATAACTTTAGAGATAGTGAATAGACTAAGGATATTTTCGTTTTTTTTAACCTCAGATTTTTCCTTCATTGTGATCCAAATGATTGAAATTGTCTCTTTTTAATTAATTATCAAATTTCACTTTAAAAGTGAGTCATTTTGAAAAGTCAAATAAAACAAAAAATTTTTACGCCCCTAAACTTTTGAAAACGTAGAGATATCTCGGTCAAAATCGATCTATTTTAATCAATCAAGGCACCATTAGATTAAAACCTAATAGCAGAACGATATAGCAGTATAATATAAAATCATTAGTTCTTTGATTTTTAATCACATTTTATGTTTCAGGAGAAATATAGTTTGTAAATAAAATTTGAATTGTAACAGTTTCCTAAAGCATGCTTTTTATTAATGGGGAAATATTGTTTCGATTTGTAAAGTGCATTTCCTTGTTTTATTGGAAATATTTGATTTTAACTCATTTTGAATTTTCATTGACACCCTAGAATAGTGACCACGGTCACGTACATTTAACCTTCCGATAACTTGGACATAAAATGATATTGCTATTAAAGCATGCATGACACGTCGTTCTAATTAAATAAATATTGTGTTTACTTAACGCAATTTATTGTCACTATAATAATACAGAAATCACAGACTGTTTTCTTCGGGAAATAGTTCTTTACACCAACATTTTTTACCAAAATGTCTTATTGAACTTATTTTCACTACTACAGTAAGAGAAATTTTATACAGAGTGGTCCAATTAAAACAGTCCACCTAAAATATTTTCAATGAAATGAATGAATGAATGAATGAATGAAAAAGTTTTCAAACTAGTTTTAATTAATAAATGTCCAAATTGCGACTCATTTACTTCAATACAGTAATAAAACCTTTGTTCAACATTTTTCCGAACATTTTGTATCATTTCATCACATGCTACCACTATTTGGTGGCGAAGATGAATCACTCCAGTATCTGCAATTACGTCCGTTGACGTAACCTTTAAGAAAGAATGCGCATTTGTCAGAAAAGCATGTACAATATAAAAAATTGGGATTATCCAAAAATTTTTCACCCATCTGTTCACAAAATTGTATACGGCGACCTGGATCATCTTCATTTAGTTCTTACACGAGATGAATCTTATAGGGATGGAATTGATGCTTTTTCAAGATCCTCTGAAGACTACTACATGGAATTTCTGAAGTTGCCTCTAATTTTCTGGTACTTGAAGTGGGATCCAGTTCAACATGTCTCAAAATTGCAACCTTCGCAGCCTCGTCAGTCGTCAGTAACAATGTGTTGCCTTTCATGTTTTTTGTTAGCAACGGATCCAGTCTTCATGAATTTAGATATTAAATTTAGGGACGGCTGAGATTCTTATCGGGATACCTTTCATTAAAAATCCTTGCAGTTACCCGGGTCATTTTATTATTTCGAAAATAGACAATGACAATTTCTCTCTACATATGTAAACCATGATAATTTGAATCGTTTGCTTCAAAACAGCGAATAATAACAAATCAATGGATTTCACTACCTAGACAATTCTGACTGATATAAAATCGGAACAGAACTAGGTACATGTAAAATTCTAATAAAACCCGGTTTATCATGGAAATCAAGATTTCCATGATAAACCTCATTTTTTACAGTTTCATTGTCCGGTGAGTTTTTTTATTACTATTTTAAGTCTTTTTTTCGATTTATTTCACCAACACTTCCAACAGGTTCGTTACAATAATTTTAAGGCAGAACAAAAAAATTTCAGCATGTTTGTAAAGAGAATTGAAATGATGTGCCACTTAACCCCCCGTATTATTTAAAATTCATGAAGGGGTTGCCATCCCGTTTAGGGATGGTCCTACATCCATGAATTTATAATAAAAGATGTCCTCCTTGAAAACAAAATCGACCTGGTTTGGGGTTTTCCGGAAAAACCTGTTGCATTGAAAATATTTCAGGTGTACTGTTTTAATTAGGCCACCCTGTATGTATTCAAATAACTTCTAGATAGATGAAAAGTTAAACTAACAATTTACTTCATTTAAAGGCAAAATGTTAATTAAATGGGGAGGGTCATTACGCGCGGTTATCGCCCAATTGAGAAAATTTCAATCGGTTTTAGCCCAAACGGATCCACCTTACCCCTCACCATCCACTGCCTTAAATAGCTTCCAGTAACCGAACCACATATGTATAACTACTATGACAGGTAGTAATGGCAGAAAAATGTCTTTCGATCTATTGAGTTTTCTTTTTTTGGTCCCAAGCTATTGACCCTCCTTCTTCATTACAAATATTTCAACTAGGGGCCATTAAGAATTCTAGAATTGTAACGCCACTCAATATTTTGATGCTTTTGAGTGACCTATGTAAGAAAATAGATACCTATACACTTAATATACCATACCTATATATCGAGTTATTATTTTTGTAATTCAAAATAACTTTATTTTAATTGTCTGAAAAATAACGTAGAAACGTATAGACTTTATTATATGTATTGTATTTGAAATGGAATTAGAAATATACAGGGTGTTTCCTAAGTACGGTCCGTAACATCAAGACACAAATTCCTATGGTATTATAAAAAAATTTCCTATAAACATATTGTGACCGGAATTGCTTAGACTCCGAGATACAGGGTGTTGAAAATTTAAAAAATATATTAATATTTGAAATAAATTTGGAACAGTCAGTGTTAGGTTCTTAAAATTTGGCAGACATTGTACGACGGTAAAGAGCTGCATTTTTAGTATAAAGTTAATTTTTTATTTCCCGCCAGTGGCGTGAGTCAATCGACGATTTCATCATAAAATGTAGAATGTCAATGGATTTTTAAAATTTTTATTATTTTCGGACTCGCCTAACATTTTACAACAAAAAAGGTGTCTTCAATTTATTGCCATATTAGCCACATTCTTACAAAAATGGCCGACAACTACAAACAACAATCATATAAATAATGAGTTTCGACATAAAATCAAAAGCAGATGTTGAAAATGGCCACATTATGATAAAACGCGCGATTCTAATCATTTCATCATTGATTGTCTCACTCGTTCAAAAATTTCTGGAGAATTTTGTATGACATCACAACTTTGAATTATTCAATTTCGTAACTCGTTTTCATCTATACACAAGAGACTTGAAGGTCACTTCATATACGCATACGCATAAAAGTCGCAAGGATTCATATCAGGACTGCGAGCTGGCCAAGCTTGGGGATCTGCGCGTCCAATCCAGCGATTAGAAAAGGTGTTGTCGAAGTATTGACACGGCTGAAATGAGCTGGGACATTGTCGTGCATAAACCAGAAATTAGCTCTTACGTGTAGAGGTACATCTTCTAATAAAATGTTTAGTCCTTCGGCTTGAAACTGCCTTTATGAGTCACCAGTTAATAGAGCTGAAATGATTGCTGAAAACGACCATCTCTTATTACATGCGGATTTTCGTTCGCCCAAAAATGTTCATTATGAAAATTAAATGGAATCTGAATGGAACTGAGTCTGGCTTACTGCAAGTTGAGAACGGAGTTCTCCAGGGTTCTGTCCTGGGACCCATTTTGTTTCTCATATATATTAATGACTTACCTTACTCCGTAGGTGATACCTTTTGTATTATGTTTGCGGATGACACTACGTTAATTACAAGGGACGACGATTTCAGTTTAAGCTTTCTACAGCTTTCTAAAAATTGGTTTCCTTCGAATAAATTAAAACTCAATGAATCCAAAACCCAAAATATCTTATTTAGTACCAACAAGAGGGTTACAAAATCAGAGATTAAAGTTGTTGGGTTGGTTCTTGACTCCAGATTAGAATGGTCGTCTCAGATAGATCATATTGCTTCTAAGCTGTCGTCGCAAATATTTTGTATGAGACAATTGAGGCAGTCGCTTCCTTCTAATGTATTACGCACGGTGTATTTTGCAATCATACATAGCCATTTATCCCATGGTATCGCTCTATGGGTTAATTCAACTGTGGCGCATAAGTTATTTGTTTTGCAAAAGGCTGCTGTTCGCATTATTGAGTTCACATTGCCTACCACTATTTAAAAAAATTCAAATTACGCCACTACCATGTATTTATATATTCCAGTCGTTACTGCACATACATCGTGGGTTGGACAAAATTCAAAAGCATTATGACATACATTCCTATAACACTAGATATGCCGATACTTTGATTGAACCGTTCGCTAGGATACGCACAACAAAAATTAATAAGTTAGATGTTAAGTTATACAATTATTTCGATAAATGTTTTAAAAATGTAAATGTTTCTAATTTAAATTTTAATCGGTTCTATGTTGAGTAAAAGCCTTCTATTGGACAAATGCTTTTATAGTGTGAAAAATTATTTTAACTGGTCGAACACAAACCATTAATGTCAGTGACTTCAAATGTACTTTTAATTGTACGTAATGTGGTCGTTAAACAAAGAGTAAGAGTAATAATTGCTTCTCGCGAAAAAGTTGCCTCATCAGAAATAAAAATTTTCGTGAAAAAATTGTTATTATGTGCCACTGCATGAAGTAACCACCCTCTAAAATATAGCCTTGGTTGAAAATGGGGCAGTAGAGTTTTTATTTGTTGTATGTGGTATGGGAATAGCTGACAAATTCTCAAAACTTTCCAAACAAAGCTGCATTGCTTTATTCCTGGTACTGGTTGAAGGATTTTCTTCTATCTCTCGAAGTATAGCTTCTTCTAGTTTTGGGCTTGTTATTGTTGAAGGTATTCCTGGAACTTTCGTACTACGCTTAAAACTACCAGTTTCACTTAATCTGAGATGTAGCTTTTTAAATGTTTTAGCACTAGAGATGAGAAATCCGGTTCATTTTGTTGACCCGGTTCCTCATACGGAGCCGGTTCAGTGAGCTGGCTCAATTGAGTCGAATTTGTCATGACTATCCCTTACCTTCTTTACTTTCTAGTACATTGCGAACTGCGACCCGTGTAGCCTAGTCATTGTATTGCGTAGCTCATTTCATAAAATTATTAAACAGATACATAAAATAGATTGTTTAATAGAATTATGTATTATTTTTATGCAAATATATTAGAATCAATATTTTGTTGATTATTAACTAGCAATTTAGAAAGCACGTAAGGAAAAAAGAAAATTTTGGAATTAATTTTTATTAAATAATTTTTTTTTTGTATTTATTTGAATGAAAATTTGTTTTCACTACTTATTTATCATTTGAAAAGTAGCGAATATTACAAATAATACACCCGATACCTGCACTCTATGAATTGTGCGAGTGCGGGTGCACTACTCTTGATTTCGGTTCACCACTTCCGATATTCGACGCAAAGATCCGAGAGCCGGGACGGATCTTTGAGAAGGAACCGGTTCACTCGGCTCAGTACAAAGAGCCGGCTCAGTGAGCCGAATCAGTCATGTTCCACCCATCTCTATTTAGCACATAGCGTTACCCTGTTAGAATAACGTTCCTGATAAATTCGTCGCGCTTCTTCTTCTTCCATTCCCATTGGCTAAGCCGTAGATGAAAGGCATCTAAGTCATTTCAGCGTTAGTAAAGTTATTCATTTTCGAATTTTATTATCTAATCCACAGTTTTGATTGACAACTTATAACTAGCAAAATGCCAACAATTTCTATACCAAACAAGTAACTAAGACAACAGAAAAGGCATAGTTACCATATTATTTCTTTTGTTGCCGCTGAATTAAATGAATAATTTTCTAAGAATAGGTTATTAGGCAAAAAATTCAAGACGCCAAATGTTAGGCCAGTTCGAAAATAATAAAAATTTATAGAAATCCATTGACTACATTTTACGACGAATACGTCGACTAACTCACGCCTAACTACGCCACTGGCGGCATATAAAAATTGACTTTATACTAAAAATACAGCTCTTTACCAACGTACAATAACTGACAAATTTTAAGAACCTAACACTGACTGTTCCAAATTTATTTCTAATTATATTATATTTTTTTAAATTTTCAACACCCTGTATCTCAGAATCTAAACGTTTCCAAGAAATATTTTTCTTTAAATATCATAAAAAAATATGTCATGAAGTTACGGACCGTACAAGGAAAAACCCTCAATATTTACCTATGTAAATTTAAAAAAAAATAAATAAAAATGTTAACCAGACATGTAAAATAATCACAAAAAGAAATACAAAAAATTTACTGAAAGGAGTTAAAATAAATATCATAAAAATACGTTGTCCAATATTTCCAAGAAACATGTTTTATCTTAATGTTGTAGATAACAAACCAAAATGGCGTTAGAAAAAGCAATTAGCGTTGAAGCTGGCCTTCAAAGCATGACCGTGGAAGTAGAAGAATCTCAAGAAGAAAAAAATATGTCTTTCTGCACCAAAGTGAAGGTTATCCTTTCCAACATAACCATTGAACCCATCTTGTTTTGCTACGTCCTGCCCAGCGTCATGGCAAGCGTCACCACGCAAAACTTAACTTTGGAAAAGAGTTGTAGAGTCAACTTACGCCTTGACGAAGGTATTTGCGATGCCTTGGCAGCTCGAAACGAGTCTTACCCCAATTACAAAACCAGTGAAGAAATGGTACAGAAGTTATCTGCGAATATGATGATTTGGAAAAATATCATCCAGAGTCTGTTGCCAGCCTTTCTACTATTATTTTTAGGTTCTTGGAGTGATAGACACAAAAGAAGAAAGCCATGCATATTGAATCCGATTTTAGGGGAGGTCGCTATGACTATAGGATTTTTACTGTGTACTTATTTCTTCTACGAGTTACCATTAGAGGTCAATATAATGGCCGAAGCCATACCCCCAGGGCTGACGGGCGGTTGGTTTGCCATGTTCATGGGAGTTTTTACTTACATAAGCGGAGTTACTTCAGAGAAGAATAGGACTGTACGAATTGGAGCAGTTAATATGTTCCTCAATGTTAGCGTCTGCATTGGTATATCCCTCAGCGGTATCCTCTATGAAAAGATCGGCTTCTACGGGGTTTATTCCTTAGCTTTGACTATGTATTTTACGGCGTTGATATATGGAACTTTTTTTGTCAAGGATATCAGAGAGATTGAGATGGAAATGGGTATTTATAAAGCAAATAATGAAAAGAAGAAAAATATTATTTTGGACTTCTTCGACTATAATCATGTTAAAAAGACGATAATGGTTTGCTTTAAAAAAGGCAAAAAGAATAGGAGAACTAGGATATGTGTTATTATGATTCTGGTGATGGTTGTCATTGGACCCATGCATGGTACGTTTTATCTAAATTCTGTACATAAACAAAAATAAAATAATATGTTGCTCATCTAGATGCACATTTGGAAAAACGCAAAATTTATGAAACCAGGAATAAATCATCACCACAATTTAAAAATTAAACAAACTATTTTTGTCACTTTGAAAATTGTGATTAACATCATATGCATATTGCAAAAGAATTTTCATGAACAAATATCAGTGGCGTACGCAGAGTTTTGCCATGGGGAGGAGAGTTATAACTAAAAAAATTTTAAAATAGGTCAATATTTTATCCCTCTCCTGTATATTCACAATTTCATCATTACAAAGACAAACATAGAAGAATTACTACTTTCTAAAAATCTTAACTATAATGTGTAAGTATGTGCACTTTAATTTAAAACATTGTCTGTTTCTGTCCTATTGTTAGATTAATTATGACCTACATCCAGCAGTAAATATTTGCTAATAAATATTTATGCCAAACCACAGATTCTTAACAAGACTTCAACATCAATGTAAACAGATATAGTCGAAAGTACTGATAATACATATAAAAAAGGAAAAAATTATATACATGGTGTAACAAAAATAAGGTTACAAACTTCGTCAGCAGATAGAACACTTAAAATTAGTAGGGATATTTCATATAAAATTATTGTTTAAAGTGCTTCAATGGTGATATATCTACACCCTGTATATATGTTGAAAAGTTGAAAAAATATTGTTTTCAAATATTTTGAAAACGGTAGGAGGGAATAATCCCAAATTTGGTACGAATACTACGCTACATACCCTAAAGCCTTCAAAGATTAAAAGTGTAATCTACACTGTAAAAAAATTGGTGCGAGTGAAAGTAATAAAGGTTTGGAGTGAATAAATTGCGTGAAATTATTGAGTACATTTTCACTCAATATTGGGCATTTTGATCATTTTACTCATTTGTGATTATATTTAAACTAAAACTGAGTACTTTCACTCAAACTTCACTCCTTAAATAAATTCTTCTCATACACCCGTATTTGATGCACTTGTACCTAAATCAGAGTAAATGTCTTCATTACTGAGTGAGTTTAATTATATATTAATTTCGAGCAATTTGAATGGCGTCGTGAAGACGGCACCAATTACATATTGCTTCTGTAATCTCGACCACAGTTAATAGGGCCCCGTTAGATACCCCAGAAAAGCGTGATCGCCAAGAGAACAGGCCTTAGCCGGCGGCGGCAGGTCACAGTTGGCAGGTCTCAGCCACGACAGGAGGAGGTCTAGCGAAGGGAATTAATTTCAACACTGTATATCCTAATTAATCATTTATGGGTGATTTATTTTTGCACTTAATATTTAGTTAATTAAAAACCAGGTCTGAGTAAAAAATGACTCAATAATAGTTAAATTTAAATCATATTGGTGAAAAAGTCAACTCTAAATTGGTTTTATATACACAGAATAGAGTCAAAAGTCACTCAATCGATAGTTAGCAGGATTTAAGTAAAATTCACTCATTTATGATGCAATAGTTTCATTCAGTTGTATTCATACTAATAAAAAGTGAAAATTTCACTCAATCGGGTGTGGACAGAAATTGATACATTGAGTGAAATTTGAGCGAAATTTTTTTAGTGTAAGTGCGGAGATATGAGGACACCGGACCCCTTTTTTAAATATTTCTACGACACTGACTTTAAAAAAAATTTAAGTGAATTGAATTTCTAAATTGCCCTTGGAGCAAAAAGTGTAACTTCATTTTTTTCGGACGAGCCTTCGTTCTCTAGCTCGGCTAAAAAATCGCTGTACTATACGATAAAAATACATATTTTTTTTTAGAATCAAGTGACCTACTATCAAGTCATCTTGTCGTTAGTAAGTTAGTGTTGTCATCGGTTTTCATTATTAATTCAAATTATTTGAAGGTTTGGTGCGCTGAAATCGAATCCGAGGCATCTCAATTCGCACTGGTTTTCGAGATATCCTAACCTAAAAGTGCTAAAATTGCGATTTTTGACATATTTTTAAATTATGTTACATACATGGAAAGATATTTTTTTTTTGCTGAAACCATTAATGGCGTCTTAAAGTATTATACTTATTCTTCAAAACGCACTTGGATTTATCCCGATATCATTTTTCGTCTTTGAGAAATCGCATGTTGAAAGGACCCCGCACATTTTATATGGAAAAAGGTCTTCCGGTGAAATTTGCTAAAAATTTGGGAAATTGTTCATTTTGTACCCCTGATCAAAAGTGTCAATGGGGTCGAAGCTCAAAATGCCCATCTTTAGGCTCTACGGCAATTTTTAGTGGCCAAAAACGGCAAAAAAATTTTTAAGTCAGTGGCGTAGAAATATTTAAAAAAGGGGTCCGGCTTTCCCATATCTCCGCACCTGGACACGCTTATTCATAGAAGGTACCAAATCGCACCAAATTTGGAATTATTCCCTCCCTACCGTTCTCAAAATATTTGAATCAGATTGAATTATTTAATAATATAATTGAAAACTTAAAAGAAAATGAAGATTACTTTTTTTTCTAAAAGATTTACAAGGTGAAATAATAATTATAAGAAACAAAAAAAAATGGTATAATTTTATTTTATGTTCTTTTTCCATGAAACGCAGACATCCAATAATTTAAATAAGATTTAATAACTAGCATTAAAATAAACTGGATTAGGTATATATAATTTGGTGTACATAATATTTACTATATTGCACCATTATTTATCTTTCTTTGTATTTTTCATCGTTATCTGTNGGAAAATCTTTGGCAACTCTTGGGAACTCTTTGAAAAAATGCATGTGAGTTCCGAGTTCAATGAAGGTTATTAAAACCACAAAATAATATTGAGACGGTGTGTATTAAATCGTGCATTCAAAAACACTCTCACAAATACGTATACACACATATAATTAGACATGGACATATTCCTACATAAAATACTCACACGCATACAATTTAATGGAAACTTAAGGGACTGTACAAGCATTAAACATAATATTTTTAAAAAAATGATTTTTTGCCGTTTTTGGCCACTAAAAATTGCCGTAGAGCCTAAAGATGGGCATTTTGAGCTTAGACTCCATTGACACTTGATCAGGGGTACAAAACGAACAATTTCCAAATTTTTAGCAAATTTCACCGGAAGACCGTTTTCCATATAAAATGTGCGGGGTCCTTTAGTTTGACTTATTTTTCGATTTTTGAATATACTGACAACACAGCACCACAAACCTAAATTCATCGGCACCCGGAAGTAAAGATACCATATGTTTTTAGTGTCGCTGATCATGAATCTGAACTCCAAAATATTCTACAAAAATGCATGCAAGTTTATCCAGATCGATAACAGGTAAGTCCACTCTTTCACAGTCTTGCAGAGATAGACACAGGGACCACTCCATTATCAGGAAGAGGAGGACTATGAAGAACTCCTACAGTTGAGGTTGAAGAATTTATTTTGGAAGCTGTTGGTGAAAATCTAAATGTCAGTACTCGACAATTAGCCAGACAATTTAATACTAACCAAATGACCACTATTACATGAGCAGCACCTTTACCCTTATCATTTACGAGCTCACCAGCCTGTTGATTTCCGGTGAGAGAAAATGTTTGCAGATGGTTTATTCAGCAAACGGCTAATCCATGTTTATTACATCATTGACCATTGTTGATCACATATGAAGCAACATTTACCAGGAATGGGGGCACGGCAAGACCAGTTGCTTGGCCTCCGCGGTCTCCTGACCTTAATCCTATCTGGGGCTATCTGAAATCATTAGTAATTGCCAGTATTAGATAAATATATGCTTTGACACCGTTTAATGGAATCCTTTGACAGAATTCGTAATTATCCTTGAATATTTCAAGGGATACACTTAAATATGATTCGATGTGCCCGAGCATGTACTGAATCTAGGGAAGGTGTAGAAATATTTAAAAAAGGGGTCCGGCTTTCCCATATCTCCGCACCTGGATTACACGCTTATTCATTGAAGGTACCAAATCGCACCAAATTTGGAATTATTCCCTCCCTACCGTTCTCAAAATATTTGAATCAGATTGAATTATTTAATAATATAATTGAAAACTTAAAAGAAAATGAAGATGACTTTTTTTTTCTAAAAGATTTACAAGGTGAAACAATAATTATAAGAAACAAAAAAAAAATGGTATAATTTTATTTTATGTTGTTCTTTTTCCATGAAACGCAGACATCCAATAATTTAAATAAGATTTAATAACTAGCATTAAAATAAACTGGATTAGGTATATATAATTTGGTGTACATAATATTTACTATATTGCACCATTATTTATCTTTCTTTGTATTTTTCATCGTTATCTGTAATTAGGACTAAAAAGATATTACTCCGCCGTATTTGATTTTAGTCTCATTAAAGGAGTTATTAGAGGAAAGATTAAAACTAAGATTTTAACAAAAGACAATGGATTTAGTTTAAACCTTAAAACTGCTCTGCTTTATGACACGATAATGTGGAAATTTCAGAATTTGAATGCAGATATTTTTAATTCGTGAACACATATTAAATGCTTTTTGGTTAATTTAATTTTAGGAACCAGTAGATTGTAGATTCTAAATTGTAAATTGTATGGAGTGTCCTATTAATGACCCTACTGTTATCCTTATTGATTACGACTTTGATTTAGTAAGTCTACCCTCAACTCCTTCGATGGTCGTTTTGAGAACTTCTTTGCTTGCCTTTGGCCAGGGGTTTCTTGCCACAATTTTTGAGCCTTCTCTTTCACCCACTCCCTCCCGAGTGCCTTATTCGAATAACTATAAGTATAAGAGAGTTCGGATCTGTGTAGGACTGTAGATAAGAATACTCATTAGCCTTCTTGTTGCTTCTATGTTCCACTTGCACCAGCACCTAAGTTAATGTAACATCATTTTAACTTCCTAATTTTACCAAAGAATCTAAGGAGCTCCATGCTAGTCCTATTTGATCTGCCACAAATTGATTGTTTTTAGGGCTGGGTGACTGTCAGAGTATAAAACAATTATTTGTTTTTTAACGTCCTATCATCCCTATCAACTCACAATATTAATGGCCCATACTCTCGCCTGGAAGACTGTGATACGCATTATTTCCAGGCACGTAACCAGAGTAGGTGGAAGGACATAAGTTTGGAAATAAGGAAAAAATGCTGCAGTGTAATGTGAAAGAAAAGTTTTTCTTTTGAATGCAATTTGAAGAAGTGGTAAGAATGGAAAGTGGTGTAATTTCCTTTGATTGTTTCCTTATTTTGAAAGTCAATCCCACAGAACATAAAAATGGGGGATACCCCACGCCCCACCTTAAGATCACTTTATTTTTTAGATCTGGTTACATGCCTAGACGAGTTGAACATTTCTTATATGTTCTAAATCCGATGTTCTAAATCCGACTCCTGTTTCTGTCTTTATACCCGCCTAGATTTTCTTTAATTGGGATCCCGTTTGCCAGTCTTCTTGCATAAACGCAAAGTTTGACTTATCATGTTTTGACAACAACTCATTAATAATTTAATAAATTAACCGTACATTTTAAAATTGATACATTTTAATGTGTCATCTTTACTGTTTCATATCCCTAGTTTTAGAATCTCCAGCCCCTCTCGTTGCGAACTCAGTGAATGTGTTTACTAATATAGAATTTTCACATTCTGATTTAAAATCCAGTAATTAATCATTTGCTAGATTATTCTGTATAATTAAATAATATTTGATTATGTGGTATATCTTCATATTTCTATAACACAGCCACACAAACAAAGTAGTCTGTACTTTTCATGCGACATAAATGTTATAAGTAGTATTTTTGCCTCCTGATCACGAATCCGGTATCAGAATTGAGCTATCACATCACAGGAATTTCCTAACCTCAAAAAACAGGTCAAAAATAGCAAAAATTCACGAAAAAGTGCTAGGAAAACTAGAATTTTTTTTTCTATATTCAAATGTTCATTTATACAGGGTGTCCGGTAAGTACCTCCTAATCTCTCGGGAGTGTATAGGGGAGGTCAAAATAAAACTAGTCCATCCTATAATTTTTTTTTCTAATGTGCCCCCTAACGGAGTTATGGGGGGTCAAAGGGGTACCTAGAAATTAACGTTTAGGGTTATAACTTTGAAACCACCCTGTATATTTTAATAAAATTTTCGTACGTTGTATTACACATGGAGCTCTACGATTTGATGCTAAAATCAACTTTTTGCTATTATCAGGTGTCCAGAAACGGACTGGCCCTATCACAATTTNACACAAAAAAGTTATCTGTACTTTTCATACGACATGTTATGTCCTGTCACATCACAGGAATTTCCTAACCTCAAAAGCAGGTCAAAAATAGCAAAAATTCATGAAACAGTGCTAGAAAAAATACAATTTTTTTTTCTATATTCATGTTCAATGTTCATTTTATTTGGTTAAGACTTCGCGGTCAGAATTGATGGTTCTTTTTCTAACCTCAAAAAACAGATCAATTAAGATTCTCAGATATTACGAATTTTCAAAATATAACAGATTTGCGCCAAATTTGGTATACGGAGATTTCCTGGGTCGCTGATCACGGATCCTAGGTCAATATTGCAAAATTCAAGATGGCGGATCCAGGATGGTCGACCAAATTTTCAAAAAATAACACATTACCGCCAAATTTGGTATACGGGGGTTTTGGGGGTCACTACAAAATTTAATCAATTACCTGTGTAGTTTATTACAAGGTTAGACAGAAAACCCGTGAATAGATCTACTTTTACAGAAAAAAGAACAAATTAGATATAGCCGAAAAAAAGAACATGATTGGGTACTCAGGTTATAAAGTAAACAAAAATATTACAATAAGAATTTCGCAATTCGTAATCAGCGACCCCGAAAACCCCCGTGTACCAAATTTGACGCGAATGTGTTAGGTATTTTTTGAAAATTTGGTCGGCCATCTTGGATTCACCATCTTAAATTTTGCAAAATTGACCTCGGATCCGTGATCAGCGATCCCGAAAACCCCCGTATACCAAATTTGGCGGGATTCTGCTATTTTTTTGAAAATTCGTGATATCTGACCTTAATTGACCTGTTTTTTGAGGTTAGAAAAAGAACCATCAATTTTAACCATATAAATGAACATTTGAATATAGAAAAAAAAAGTTTTGTGTTTTCCCTAGCACTTTTTCCTGAATGTTTGCTATTTTTGACCTGTTTTTTGAGGTTAGGAATTTCCTGTGATGTGATAGCTCAATTCTGACACCGGATTCGTGATCAGGAGGCAGAAATACTACAGATAACATATGTCGCATGAAAAGTACAAACTACTTTTTTTTTGTGTGTGGCTGCGTAATTTATGTCTATATTGCATTTACTTGCTTAGTACGAATCTTTCTTTATTTTGTGTAAAATAGTACTCCATACAATTAGGCTATTACAGCCTGTTTGGATGTTCAAAAATAAATAAATTACTATATTCAAATTCAATTATAATCTGTATTTCGGGTCTAAATGGCATTTCTAACATCGGATATGCCTTTTACAGCTTCTGATATTTATCACCGGTCAACTGGCGGGTCCTTCTTCTAGTCTATGATATGCAGATTTAGCTTCTACTTGAATAGTAAATGCACGTAGTTGATACAAAAAAATTCCTAAATTGCCTATTTCTAGATACATGATATTAAAGAAGCGAGAGCAAATCTTCAAAACTATCTGAAAGTAAGTGTTATGTATCTTACACAAACTACGTCAAACAAAATTTGGTAGAGGGTTTTGGCTATATGATAATAATGGATATATTTACTTACAATTAACACTATGTAGATGTGTCGAAAAAGATATATTTGTAACCAGGTTTACATTAACCTTCTGCTACGTATTTGTAAATTTTTTAATATTTGATTCCATTCTGTTTTTCATTGCAGTCGTGTTAGAAACATTACAAAAAGCAAATCATGAAAATATTACTAATTCTCTTTCATACATGCTTCTTTCTCTTATATTATAACAATTTAACAAAACCTGATGATTAGTTTTAGATTTTTTGTTTGTATAATATAATAATAAATGTATAATTTAAAAATTAGCTTAATGGCATTAAGAAATTTTTGTAATAGAAAGATTTAATCCAAGTAATATTTTTAGGTGAAATGAATGTTGTCTACTTCTTTGTTAGATATAGATATGGATGGAATTCTGTCGACTACAGCTTATTTTCGACATTCCAGTTTGTGGCACACACGATAGGTAAGCCAATATAAATCATTATATTTCAACAAATACAAAAAGTAATACAGAACCTTCTCAAACATTTACAAGCCACGTGATCACCGAGCTTAAACAACCAATATTTCACGGCTGATACTGTCAACTAAAAAATCCATAAATCTTGGCCAATATTAATAATTCGTTTACAATGAACAAACGACAAACCGTTACATCTACGCTCGAGATAATGCGATCGCTGATTGGTTGAATGGAATTTCTTGAAAAATTATACCAATCACAGCCGGTGAAACAGGACGTTGTGTTTTAATGTAATCTTGATCTTATTGTTGTAATATTTTTTAATTTTATTGTTTATTTGCCAACGCGAAGGAAATAAAATTTCTGTTCCAAACAAAATTACTGGCCGCATGGCTTATAATCATTTTGAAGGCTCTGTAAATAATGTACAAGTTTCTCTTAAAAATATACTCGTATGTACAAATTCCTAAAATATTTATATTTCTATGTAACTATGTTTTTTAGGGACGCTATTTTCTTTGGCCTTTTTCACGAAGTTTTTGAAAATGGACGATGCAGTATTAGGGATGATATCGAGTGGTAGTAAAATAATTGGTTGTCTCTTCTACGCTTTTGCCCCAACTCCCTTCTGGTACTATGTCGGTAAGTACCTACTTGAACGTTGTTTGGAAAAACCTGAATTATGAACTGTAACTATTTGAGAGACCAGATTTAATTAACTTTTCCGAGTTGTAACAGACTATTTCACTATTCATGTCGCCATCCTTACATCTCTCTTATTTGGAACTGAAACGTTTTCATATTTCAGCATGAACTGATTGCAGTCCGTACAATATTTGTTGAGATAGAATTCCAAGAGAATTATCGGAACTACTGTAACAATTTACCGCGGTAGGGGCGTGCCTTGAAATTTTCCGCCAATGTCTTTCTACCGCGGGTGTCGAATGCGGTAATTCCAAGAAAATGACGCAGAGGTCCTCATGAAATTCTTTCTCAACAAATATCGTACGGACTGTACCTGCAAAACGGTTATTCAGATATAACTAAATTTGATTCGTCATAGTCATCCGGTACTAAAATAAAAAATATGTGGAATTTTAAAAAAATATTATAGAATTTTTTTTCTGTTCTAATTTTGTGTCCTCAGAAACATTTTTCTACTAAATTTGATTGAAATATTTTTAAAAGTGTTCCAGATATGGGCAGCCAAATATTTAGTTTTTTTATTATTGCATAACCATTAACTAAATAACTATTTTAGTTAGATAGTTTTTCCCTTTGCTTTTTGTTACTTATAAAGCTATTAAATTTTCGAGCATTTTTTTTATTTAATTGGTAATACAAATTTATTTTAGAAATCTGTCCCTTAGAGTTTCACATTTTTTGAAAATAAAAATGTATATAAACAGAATTTATTGAAAATATCCACAACAAAAAATACATAGCAAAATAGTAAGCAAAGTAATATAATAACATTAAGTCATTAGATAATTATCTCAATTTCAGTTAACCAATTTACTTTTTCTATCCATTTTAACCCCTTTTATTACTTTTCTTCTTTCTTACAAAAACCTCTCTAAAACGAAGCTTTATAAACTTGTTTCTTAATAGTGCTCTAGAAATAATTATTTAGTTACATTGTAATTTGATCTTATCAATCGCCATGTATTACTTTTCAATAAATCTGAAAATAATAGAAACAAACAGGTTCAAATTCTATTTTTTAACGACTACACAAAAAGTTTTCTCAATAATTCATAGCTTAATATAAAACAAAAAGTAAAAGAAAAGCTTAACTGTTAGATTTTAAATTAACGGTTTCGCGAAAATAAAAAAAATAAATGTTTGGGTACCCATACTTTTAACACTTTGAGATATATATAAAGAATACAAGAAGTGGTAGAAACTTTAAATGAGCAGTCCTATAAAAATAACAAAAAAAATGCACAAACTTTGGCCGGAAAATACATCGTTTTCGAGATTTTTTTTTTCTTTATTGAATTTTATGCAGTAATAGATAATAATAATCTTAGTATGTACTTATAAATCCGTGATAGTTATAGCATTTCGCTCAGTTTCTTTGATAGGGTGACACTTCTGCGCCTGTAACTTTTAGTAGAATTTTAATTAATGTACTAACAGAAAGAGATAATTAAATAAGGTTGATGTACGAAAATTATAGCGAACAAACAGATATTAAAAATATATAAACATGGTTTAACATTGTTATGTCATGAACAAATAGAAGAAAACTTTGAACTCAAAGTGTTTGCTTTCAGATTGCAAACAAAACCATATCCTTCTTCACATATTACATTTTTTTAAAATTGGAAATGATTATTTTTAATTTCATTTAAGTTATTTGTGCATACAGTCGGTCGACAGCCGCACGGTTTAAGGCGTCAGTCCTTTAATCGTGTGCAAATTTCTGCCCGGGTTCGATTCCCGCGGCCGGTAGACCGGAGATTAGCTATGCTTGTACGGAGGATTGGCACCCTCTGTGCAGGTATGGTAGGGTGGAAGAATGTTGGCTTGGGTCAATGTGAGAGATTGACACCGGTTGGCATTTGACCACCCCGCTAATTAATGAGGTTTTCCAGGTTTCCCTCATTCATCCACTGAATGGTGATTAGGGCCTACCAACATAAGTCGTTCCTGGGCGCAAATGCGGCCTGCCTAATAAGGCCGCCACCGCTCCTGCACAAGTCTCCGACTTATGGGCTAATTCTCGTAATTAGAATGAGGAGTAGAGATATTATTATTATTAATATTATTATTATTATTATACTAACAATATCAGGATATAATTTTTATATATATGTTTATTTGTCATTATTTTTCCATATCAGCCTGATTTAAATTTCTTTGTGTTAAAATTATGAAAAACTGTTTCTATTGTGAAATTATCTATCTATTATCTATTGAATCTACAACAGGCGTCCTTTCCTATTTTTTCATAAAAAAAAATATATACTTGTAAAAAAACAAATTTGTCTGATAAAGTAAGTATGCATATTTGGACCTACGCCTACGGTCATAGAAACGTTTTTCCAAACCATTAAATCAAATTGATTTCAGAGGAAACAGTTTTTTTCTTTTTTCGTGAAGTCTCACTTTTGTTTATTCTCAATTACTGTCTTCTAGCATGATAATTTTAAGGTGCCCTGGCTGAGATGATGAACGGAACTTCATTTATCGCCATGAGAGCTATTGTATCAAAACTGGTACCAGCAGAGGAATTGGGCCAAATAAATTCGCTCTTTGGTGTAGCAGAGGCCATCATTCCGGTAGTTTATGGTCCACTGTATAGCAGAATATACGCCAAAACGATAGAAGTTTTCCCTGGCGCCTTCTTCCTAGTTGGAGGAATATTGACAGTTCCTGCAATTTTTATATTTATGTAAGACTTTTTTTATGCCAATTCTACTCCTGTACAAAAACCATTTGACTTTACCATTTATCATGTGTAAGGCTGTTAGAGAGAGCTGCAATTCAATGGCGTGCCAAGCGGGTCAACCGAGACATGCGTGATCCGCTGCCTCAGAATGCTTTTCACGTTCACGTCACGTTAATAGACTGTTGCTTTGTTATCGTGCGGATATTGTGTAATTAATTTCTATCTGGTGGTGGATTGTAGACAATTTAATTTGTTACTTTTTAATAAATAATGCGTACACCTATGCAGGCGACTCAGTTCTGACAGCCCTAATCATGTATAACAAATATTATAATTGTATGTACGTATACCAGACGCAAACACTTTTTATTAGTCATCAATTAAAATATCATAGTTCTTAGGTATTTTGTATTTTCAGCTGGTTGTTCTTTGAACACAAGAAAGATGAAAGAAATGATAAACGAGAAAAGGCCCATGAAGAAAATTTGTTGAGACAAGAAGGCAGACCTGATTCTGAAAACGTATAAAAACCGCGTAAATATGCAAATAACACCACTTCAACTTAAACTAGGTAATTCAGTTTTAAAAACTGTAACTGGAACGATTGAAGAGTATTATTTTATTTATTTAGTTGCTGTATATCTTGCCTCATAGATGATAAAGTGTGTTAAATTGTTTTAAATTTACACGCTTTTGGGTTTAATGTAAATATAAATAAAACTATTTAAAATCTTCTTGTTTTTTTTTTTTCAATGTTGTCACATAAACAAGAATTGGTTCCTAAGCATGACTGTCATTAAAATCATTATCTAACGGTTTTTAAAGGATTAGGTGTTAATAATTACTTAAAAAACGCGAAGCAAAATGCAAAAAATTTAGGCCTTCATTTTGAAAAATGGTGTTTTCTCCCAACTGGCATAGTCACCTATTAGTACGTAGCTACTACTATTTACTATTTTAATTAAAGTGCTCCCAATAGTAGCAACTACGTGCCAACAACTATTTGTGCCCGTTAATTAGTTAGTAATTACACAGTCCCACAAAAAAGTGTGAGGTCCGAAAGACCCGATTAGATCTGGGTTAAGAACAGTTGAATGTCAAATGTTTATAACAACATAAACCAATGTACCTATCTATTCTTGGGGTCGCTGAATACGAATCCGGCGTCCGTTTGACTCGATCAGGCCTGGGTTAAGGTTAATTCAAGGTCGAATGTTGAAAATCAATTGCCAACAAAGTAAACCAATAAATCAGAATTCTTTTTTCTGCCTCCTGTACATCAAAAGGAAATAATAACAATTATCGATTCATTAAAAAATAAAACATCACCAGGTATTGATAACACAGCCCCACAAAAAAAAAAAA